GGTACCTGGGATGTGGGAAATGCTGCTTGTTGAAACCGAATATTGCCGAGATCACGATCTTCAATTTCGGGCATCAAATTGTTCGGTTATCAAAACGCGATAACGGTCACCATTGACGGTTATGTTCTCACCAACATCATTTTTGAGGAAATATCTATCGATGATTTCACCGCCGCACAAACCAAACCAATCCGTTATTTTTTCTGGGTGAAATGGCAGTTCTTGAATCGCTTCAGGTTGCTCTTCGTTCCAAATATGGTTGTTGTTGTTGTAACCGAAAAAATATTCCCCAAAGTAGTTTTTGGGGAATGCTGCAGGAGTGACAGCCCTTGGCCGGATAAAATTCCAGGTCATTCCGGTATAAACACCCGACCGTCGGCTCTTACGACAGGCATGCCTTACCGCGGGTGAATTCTTCAACCCCTAACCTGTAAGATGTTTCCAACAATGGTAATTTTGCTTGGTTACATAACCAATGAGCCAGAAATGGGCTCGAAAACGTCGGATCTTTTTGGAACTTTTTAAGAGCCCATAGAGCGAAGCTGCATTTTGTACACTTTCAATTTTTCGACGTAAAATCCGCCAAGTCGTTCCATATGTCAGTTCGAGTTGGTGCGAACGGCGTCGAATCGACTCTCCACAGTCTTCGTGCACATTCTCAGCTACGGCCGGTATATTTTCTTCACTGCGTGCTGAACGTCAATCGAATATTATCCAATAATGAATTCTGGGTTTCAAGATGGGTGATGGTGATGGGTGAATTGTACACTCAGTAGGCGGAGTATGTTGACCATAAGTTGAGTGAAATCCGCGAAACTCAGTATTTACGGAACGTGAATCTTTTTTATTAAAGTTAAGCTTGACACGACTCACGGGTGATCTGCCGAAAAAAAAAATCTATTGAAAAAAGTACTTCTACTTGCATCACCCGTTTTAACCTCTTCTCTACTTCATTACTTCAAATATTTATGCTTCTTCTTTTTCCTTCTCTTGAATGCAGTGAATAGGAGCGCATGCGCACTACGCTGGGCTCAACGCGGCTTCGCTATTTGACATTCAAATTGTTGATTCTTGCAAGCTAATGCTTTTTTATTACAACATTTCTAAGCACATACATATGTACATATATATATATATATATATATATATTATTTTTTTTTTTCCGCTTTTTTTCTACACTGCAACTCAACTCAAATGCAGCNGCTATTTGACATTCAAATTGTTGATTCTTGCAAGCTAATGCTTTTTTATTACAACATTTCTAAGCACATACATATGTACATGTGGATATATACTATATATATATATATATGACTACATTTATATTTTTTTTTTATTTTATTTTTTTTTTTTTGCTCAACTCTAATGCAGCTTTGCGTAAAATTTATTAGTAATGCGATATCTTTTGGTGATTTCTTCGCACTGCTGCGTCCTGTTACAGGTGCGACAGCGATGCTTCGATGGGTATTAAGCCACGCTATGACCATTGTTCAAACAATTAATACAGAGGTCGTACTAATTGGCGGTGTCGAGGGGTTGATTCGTATTCATGCACTTAAATTGAGAACAACCAACAACTTTGTGCCTATCGCTGGAACACACAAGAAGGTTTAGTGATTGCGTATGATGAGTTTTGGCCACGGTTTATACCACGAGTCTGCTTTATGGAGTTGGATTTGTGGTGTGACGAGTCGGATGAATGCAGAAACTGACAGTGGCATTCTACAACTTGAGTGGATTGTAATTAACCGTGATGTTCCCATCCTACCCCAGTTGTGCTTGAATGCATAGTTTGGCTGTAACATAACTATCCACTAATTGTGCTCGACCTGTGTCTGAAGAATCAAAATCTTCAATCCAAGCTGACTGAGAGTGCTTGCTTAAAGTATGGCTCCAGTATTGCTAGACGACATTGTAACTCCGCATGTGAAGGTTTTTCAACGGGCCATTTATAATGTAAGACTATGAGAATAAATATCGACGGTCAACGATAGAGACGAAAAAGATAATTTGTATACGGCCCTATAACAACATGTAGGGTCACTGAACGTGAACGCGCGACAATAACAGCAGCCAGCAGCAAGCAGATTGGCGATCGAAGCGTAGAGTTGGCAGCACAGCGACAACAGAGCAGCAGCAGCCAGGGGCCTGACGCTTCCAAGTGTCGACTGACCTACGTAAGGTCAGCTAAGTCAGCGTAGGCAGAGCAATGTGAGCAGAGCAGCATTCTACTAACAAAGCAACGCATTAATGAGATGTTATATATGCTGGCAAGAAGGCGATAATAAAGCACCGGCTAGTGCTTCCAATTAATGCACCAATTAATTTTGGGATATTTGTTTTTCAAAACTTGATTATACTATGTTTTTTTTATAATTTTTTTTTTTGTTTTTGTTTAAAGGACTATTAAAGTTTTAAAGGTCATTAATTTTGTCCACAATTTTTCTCTCAGCACAAGAATTTTGTCTATTTTAAGTTAATTTACACACATGCCCCACGTTTATGCGCCAAAATGTTGTAGCAAGAAGCGTTTTTCTATGTAAATTGGCGACTTTCATGCAAAAATAAAAGCTGTATTATATGTTTCCACCGGCCAAATAATAAAACTCCGATGTTCTACTGTTAGCAATTCATTAGCGGGCGGTTTATCTTCAATGTTAATATTTTGTATATACAATAAATAGCGAACAAGAAAGTTTGAGCAAAAGAGATAAGACGATAAAGAGTACAATGAGTGTATGTTATGTATGTATGTATGCATGTAATAGTACAAATTGGAGTACATTGAATCTACGAGTTCTATGAAATGAGAGCTATGACATTATTTTAACCCGAGCATATGTAAATATAACTATGGGGATCCGACAATATGGTTTGAAATAATATATAGAATTTTTGGAAGTGTCAAAGGTCACCGAGCAGATATGTGATTGGATTGGTGCTTTCCATAACCTGATAGATGGCATCTTATGTTGACTTAATCTGAAGCTTTGTTAGAAGGCACGGCCGTGCGATGCGGTATCCTTTTCCTTGAATTTACGTGCGTAAATGCGGAGCATTGGCATAGCGTGTGCTATGACAATTGTCATTTCAATGAATTACTCAAAATATAAATATTGTATCTAAATGAGAGAAAAAAAAGACTCTCAGAACAAGACATGTGGTTAATTTTTAGTGCATATGCGATCTCGCCCAATGAGAAACCTTTATGTTGAAAACGATTTAGTTTTTTTTTTTGATAACGGCTGGGCCGAAATAAAATTCACTTTATTGAGCAAATCTCGGGGACCGATAGAATCGAGGTAATCTTTGCTAGGATTCGATTCACTTGAAATTTAATTAATTCGTAGCTTATCGTTTAGATTAAAATGCTGAAACTATTAATCTTATTTATGGTTGAATTTCCTTAATTTTTTTATTTTCGTTAGTATGTGATGCTTAAGCTTTTCTTATCTGACACTGTTTAGTTTAATTTAAGTAATTTTATGAGAATTGTCATGATCCAGTTCGTTCAAATAATTCACACTCAGATATGAGCTATCTACATATATTTTATTATTACTGTTAATATAATATAAAGGCAATTAATTAAGGCAAAGCGAATGTCGCTGGGTCTTTTAGCATATATATATATACATATATAACTAGTACGGACCTTAACTGTGTTCCATTAAGAATCATAAGTCAATTAAAAATTTAAATGAGCATTGAGCAAAATATCTTTTCAGTATAAGATTATAGTCGCAATAAAGTAAGAATCTTCTTTATTGTTAAAATATTTTTTTTTATTTAATCATCATTGGGTAGGACGGCTGTATTTATTTTTGTTGATGACAACTTTGGGCCGATATTTGGACTTATCATGAGTTAAATTAATATCGATTAAGCGACTTGATATTGAAACAATGTTGTTGTTTTTGTAGTGGTTCGCTAACCCCACTTAGGCACAGGTCTGATTAGTCTAAGTTGCCGAGGCCATCTAATGGTAGATTCAGGAAACGAGCTGTTTCGACGGGGTTGGACCAGAGGGAGAGGGAGGGTTAGATGAGTTCGTTTGAGAGGGCGTGTGAAGAGGTGGTTAGTGTCGTGCGGAGAATCTCCACATGCAGGCCATACGTTGGGTATGCTGGGGTCTAGTCTTGATAAGTAGGAGTTTAACCTGCTACAATATCCAATCCTAAGTTGTGTCAGGGTCACGCTAGTCTCTCGGGGCAGCTCGAGCTCGTTGTCTGCTATAGATGGTGGTTTTTCTCCGAGTACGCCATTCACTGGAAGGCACTCCTTGAAGGTGTTGACTGACTCCTGGTGAATGGCGTTCAGTGCTTGTCGGTACGCCGTCCCTGCGGCAGCATCCCAATAGGAACTGCTTGCACAGCAAAGCATTACGCTCTTTAACTCGTAGCTAAGCTGCTTCCCTGTGCAAGTGATGCTCCGGCGAATTCAGGAGGTTTCCTGTCGTGGTCCTGAGGGCGGTGTTCTGGCAAGCCTGTAGCTTCTTCATCAGCGTCTCGTTCGTCCCCGGCGCCCAGATCGGTGAAGCATAGCTTACGACCGGCCGACCAATTGCTTAATAAGTAGCCAGCAAAGTTTCTTTGACTTCACCCCAGGTGCTGACGGCTAGCGCTTTGAGTATTTTGTTGCGGCTCTGGAGTTTTGCGGCAATTGCGGTCGTATGCGGAGTGAAGGAGTGCAGGCTGTCTAGAGTTACTCCCAATATTTTTGGGTTATTTATCGTCGGAATTTTTGTGTCATCGACCTTCACATCCAGCTCAAACCTGTACTCCTTCGTCCAGCTGGTGGAGAGGGAAGCCGAGGATTTCGTCGGCTATATTCTTAGCTGTCTTGCAGCAAAGAAGTGGGAGAGATCAGCGAGTTAGCCGTTCACTTTCGAACAGAGGTCATCAATATCCTGGCCAGACGCCACTATCGTACAATCATCGGCATAAGAGGTTAGGGAAACTCCTTGTGGTGGTGGAGGGAGTTTCGAGATGTAAAAACAGAAGCGGGGAGAGGACACCACCTTACGGAACCCCCTGTTAAATTTTCCTGGGTTTAGATCCACTCAGGTAGCCCATGACCCACCTCTGCAACCCCGGCGGTAATGAGGATTCCTCAATGTCCGTTAGTAGCACTGAGTGATTGACTGTGTCGAAAGCTTTTGACAAGTCCAGTGCTAACTCCGTCGTGGTCGATGGATTTGGAGGCTTTCGCCTTCTCGATAACCACCTGAACCTCCTCCCTGGAGAAATCAAGCACCGCGCTGTTGTTTGGCAGTTTGCGCATAGGGCGGGTTACTCGTCAATTTGCTTTGTATACCGCGGGATGCAGTGTGAAAAGTCGGCTAAGATAGCTCGCGCATCTCTTCGGGTCCGACGAGGCGCGATCACCGAATGAAATTTCCACCCGGTCATCGCGTCTCGTCGGGTTAGACAGCGACTTGACTGAGGAGAGGTTGCAGGTCCTTAGGTGCTCCTCCCACTCTTTCCGCTTGTGATTGTCTACTACTCTTCGAATCTCCGTGTTAAAATTCCTGATTAGGGGATTCCCGGGATCGGAGCTTCGGAGGGTGTCGCGCCTAGATGCTAATACCGCCACTTCTGTCGAAAAATTTGGGCGGATTTCCGCCATTCGGCCTGCCGGGATGAAGCGGGCCGAAGCGGTCACGACGACTCTGCGAAATAAACGTTCACCAGTAGTGACGCCTGATGGAGTGGGGAGAGCACTGAAGGCGTTCTCGGTGAATTCCGTGAAGTCCGAGCAGTTAGCTTTTTTAAAGTTTAAATATGTCCGGTGATCCGCGGAAACAAAGTCAAGAGGCCTGTCAATCGAGATTTGTATGGGTAAGTAGTCCGATGCTAATGTCAGTATAGGTCGCCAGACTATAATGTTTATCAGGCCAGCACTCGCAATTGTTATGTTTGGCGAGCTTTGGCATTCGTTCATTGTGCGGAATGTCGAATCGTCTATCTGTTCTGCCAGCTCCATTCCTCTACGGTCATTTAACAGGCTAGAATGGCAAAGATCGTGATGCGCGTTAGAGTCGCCCAAAACCAAACGGTTTTCGCCCCTAAGTAGCGCACCCATGTCAGGGGTGTATCCTGCTGGGCAACATGTAACTGGAGGAATGTATATATTGAATATTTCGAGCTCGACATCGCCTGACCGGATAGCTATGCCCTGACATTCTAGGGTAGTATCCTTGCGGTCGATGTCGCGATCGATAAAACGATACTGCAAGGTGTTGTACAGGATGAACGCTAAGCCCCCACCGTGGTCTCGCTCGAGATCCTTGCCGATTATGTTGTATACGGCCCGGCTCAGAAGATCTAATCGGGAGGTCAACTTGGCTTCCTGGATCGCAGCAATTGACAGGTGCTCCCGGCTCATGTAGTCGACTATCTCGTCAATCTTCCCCTGGAGTCCGTTACAGTTAAATTGTAAGAGTCGGGTCTGTCTCGGGGGAACGTTCGTGACTCGGGAGATAAGGGAATGATGCGTGGATGGTGTGTGTTGCTGCTGTACTACCCGCAAGAGCTGGTTCCGCACGTTGGTGTTAGTAGGCGGACGGTTTGTCGAAACATGCGGGGGCAGACTTCTACAGCACGGGGCAACATGCGCATTGCTCCACTCACGGTTGGTGCGCAGGCCAGAGCACGTCCGGAAGTGACACCAGCCAGAGCAAAGCTTGCATCTGACTGAGGTCACGTTCCGACGCTTTATGGTCTGACACACGGAACAGACAGTGCGGGGGACTAGGAGCTGCTCGGTAGCCCTCGCACGGGAGGAGGATGAGGAGCTGGTTGTGGGTAAGGAGGGGGGTGGAGGTTGGAGGGAATCATGCTGCGGGTAGCACCCTGAGACCGTGGAGGTCTGCTGATTACCCAGAGAGGGTACAGGTGCTGAAAGCACTGTCGTGGAGGCTGGGGGGCGGTTGGACGCTGGCAGCATGGGGCCACATAACTCGTGGTCCATTCCATTGACTCCAACCATTGCACTAGGTGTATCTAACCGAGATGGAGGAATGGTGGAGTTTTCTGTGACACACGCAGCAGAAATAGTCCGTCGGTCCAGGGTTGGTTGCAGTAATAAGTTTTCACCATCGGAAAGCTCGGTAGTCAGTTCATATGTGGCCAGAAATAAGAGTCACTCTTCTGGTTTACTGTTGAATTTTGGCAATTTTTTTTAAACACCATTACGTGCTACTGCCCGACTTTTTGTATAGGTTAAATTTTTAGTTATTATCTTTTTGGTAACACTGGTTTAAACAGCTGACGCACATTTCGTGTATTATACCACTGCCAAACATTTTCAATTGTGTCTATAATTTAACAATGAGTCGTCTTAAACGAAAATTGATTGAATTTAAAAAAGTTCATTGCACTCATTTTTGGCGTCAATAAGCAGAGTTGTCGATTTTGGAGTGAAGAGAACACTGAAGCATTGCAAGAACTATCAATGCATCCAGAGTCATACTTCGGTGCAGTTTATGGGCTGGTGGTATCATTGGAGCGTACTTCTTCAAAGATGATGCAAGTCGCAACGTAACTGTGAATGATGAGCGCTACCGTGAGATGATATCAATCAATTGGAAGCCTTGATCGTGGAACTTAACGACTTTAGACTATTTTTTGTGGGGCTATGTTAAATCTAATGCTCGCTTCAATTGACGGATTGGAGAACAATGTTGAAACATTTATTCGTGTGATAATGTTGAAAAGAGTATGCCAAAATAGGACTTAGTGGATGGACCATTTGAGGCGCAGTCACGGTGAACATTTGCATGAAATAATCTTCCAACATTAACTTATATGGACCGTACTATCGATTCACATTAATCTTTCATGCATTTTTCGGAATCTTATGTGTTTTTCTTTAAGAAATACTTTCCTATAGCTTTTAAAAAATCACCCTTTATCATGTTACAAAATGCATCGGTAAATTTATTGATGCGCAAACATAAGCAAATTGCACATCGCTAAGGTTTGTGATGCTTTATTTTATCTATTATAAATTCTTTACAATTGCCGTACGAAAAGCGTGCCAAAATGTTAAAGTAAGCAAAGTATTGTTGCAAGGCAAATTTATAAAGTGTCTTTTGAAACTCGACTGTTTTCGATGTAAAGTGTCTCTATTTCAGCGCGTTGTTTCGGTGTAAAGCTATCCATGGCAAAAATTTTACTGCATTTCAAAAGATAGCTGATGCAATCGCTCGGTTGGTAAATATAAAAGTTATTCAGCGTTTACATACCGACATAAAAGATGGAGCATTCTGTATGTTGAGCAATCGAATAGCGCCAGTTTACATAGAGGTTTGTACTGCCAAAATAGAGAAAATGGTGCCAATGTAAATGTTTGATACATGGGTCTTCATTCAGTCATTGTGAGCTCTTTATAAGACGTTAAAAGCGAAAGGAAAGAAAACGGAATTTCACAGAATATGGAAGAAAAATGCTTTGGTCAGTTATCATTACAGGGTTGCAAGTTGTCATTAGGTGTTCCCGTATCTTTCGTAACAGATAATGTATATTGCTTAATGTACTGTACGTAGTTCTTAGATGTCTTTCCGAAGTTGGCTGTGCAGACCGTAAAGTTAGCCCTTAACTTGAGATTATAACACTAAATATTTAATCAAAGAATTTTGGAGAATTTACTTTTCAACACAATGTTCTTATATAAACACTGTCGTGCTGAGACCCGTTTTCACAATAGTCGTTTAACTTAACCTTGAACCCGAGGATAACTAACAGCCCGATAGGGTGGTTACTTAACTTTTGTCGGATATTTCGGTTTGATCATTGTGAATATTTTAAGTTAAGTTCACAAAAATGTGTATTGTGATTACCTAAAAGCTTCAAGAAATTTGGTATTCGTTTACATTTTTCCATACAATTTGGTTTTGCTTTTTTTTAAATCTCTTTTTTGCATTATAAATGTAAATAAAATTATAATTTAATGAAGTTTATTTTTTATTGGGAAAAAGACTGTTGATTTTAAATTAAAAGTACAGATAATATAATATGTATTGTTGCGAAAATGCGAGGCGAATGTCAGATGAAAGAGAAAAGCCGATAACTAGTACGTTCTAGAAACAATAAAACAAGAACCTTCCATAGCGAATGTGTCTGATCGGGACGATCAGACTTAGGTGGAGGGCAGTGTTGCGAAAATGCGAGGCGAATGTCAGATGAAAGAGAAAAGCCGATAACTAGTACGTTCTAGAAACAATAAAACAAGAACCTTCCATAGCGAACAATTCGATGCTTCTATGCTTTCGTCTGCGAGCAGCCGACTGCTATATAAAGGCGACACTCAGCTGCAAGTCAAGTTAGTGATAAAGCGAACTCGTTGCCGATTGCTCCACTCACGGTTGGTGCGCAGGCCAGAGCACGTCCGGAAGTGACACCAGCCAGAGCAAAACTTGCATCTGACTGAGGTCACGTTCCGACGCACTATGGTCTGACACACGGAACAGACAGTGCGGGGGACTAGGAGCTGCTGGGAGCCCTCGCACGGGNTGTGAAAGTTGATGTTAGTGATTATAAATAGTAAAGTGTAGTATAATTGAATTGTGAATTACTGAGAAAATAAAGGACATTAGATTAATTCTTTATAACGAAAGAAACTGCAAATTGAGTTGGCGAGTTTTATTTAACAATCCAGAGATCGTACCCGAAGGATTCGGAAAATAATCGAGGTTGATTTAGTAAAATCGTAACAGTATGTAACATTTACGGCTATATCCTGAAAAAACGGTAATAGTTATAAACGCATTTATGGTTCACGCATGCACCCGGAATTTCGGGTCTTTTAACTGGGAAGGGGCCGCTGCCCAGCTCGTTGATGTCCTCGTAAGAATAATGACTGACATCACCGCCGTTCAAGAAGTGTGATTAACGTGACAACGACGAAAGCGATTAGGTTATTGTGACATGCACTACAGCGGCCATATAAAGGAGCGGAAATTTGGTATCGGATTTTAGGTGGGAGAGAGACTCCGTCGACGAGTACTGAAATTTACTCCGGTGGATGATCGTCTCGCCATAATCTGCATCGAAGCAAATTTTTTTAACATATTCTTGATTTGCGCCTTGACGAAGGGAAGGGCGATTTGGCCAAAGATTCTTTTTATGAGCGCCTGCAGCATTCTTACACGCTCTTCGTACCGGTGATGTGTAAGTCGTGATTGTAAAACTTAACGCCAGGGTGGGCAAAAAAGGTATCTTTGGTACAACTGTCAGATATTTCAGCTTCCACAACGAAACATCTCCTAATGGATTGAGGCTGGGGCACCTCAAACGTGGTTGTCTGTAGTACTAGATTCCAGCACAAACGAGTTCATCATGCTACTCGGCTTTCACCTGATCGAAAATCACAAAACCAGAGCTTTCATGTAGGAATAAACGGAAGACATGTCTCCGATATTTTTGACGTACTCACAAATCGACTCGAACCACTGTCTTGTTGCAGCGCAGATACTCGCGCGCCGCTGTGTATCCAAAAACTCCCGTCAACAAACACAAGGAAGGTTCGAAGTAGAAAAGTAGCAATCACAACAGACTGCCTATATTTCTACTCGGCTTGCACTTCTGCTCTCTCATCAGCAGCTCTGTATGCGGGACCTGTGGTACGACATTTCGAGTTGTTGTTGTTGTTGTAGCTGTTGGCCAACACCGCTTGCGGACCGGTTTAATCAATCTAAGTCGCTGAGGTCATCTAATGGGAGGTCCAGGAAACGCGCTGTTTCGACGGGATTGGACAAAAGCGAGAGGGATGTTTGATTTATCGGTTTAAGGGGCCATGTGAAGAGGTGGTTAGTGTCGTGCGAAGACTCTTCACATGTAGGGCATACGTTGGATATGCTGGGGTCGAGTCTGGATAATTAGAAGTTTAACCTGCTACAGTATCCAGACCTAAGATGTGCCAAGGCATTTTGAGCTCTCGACGTATCAAACAACAGCTGCAAACTATACTATGGGATTACGGGGAGGTTGCAAAAACAGCTGGTACAATGAA